ATGCATGGAGATAAATTAAGACGAGAAAGAATATTTCTTTACTGAGATTGGAAATATTTAAAAAATATTTTAATTATATTTTTGTCTAACCATTTAATCAACAGCCCAAGTATAAATGTATATTTATCTACCACGCAATCTGTCACATTATAGTGTTTAAAAGAGGTAAATAAACAAATGCATTCTTTCTCGTTCGAGTTGTTTTACATTTGTCATTTCGGGGCCTTTTATAGCTGACTATGCGGTATGGGTTTTGCTCATTGTTGAAGGCCCTACGGTGACCTTCAGTTGTTTGCTTCTATGTCATTTGATCTCTGGTGGAGAGTTGTCTCATTGGCAATTATACCACATCTTCTTACGAAGTTTTTGTTCTCTTTCCTTTTGAGTTTATCACATCAAAAAGGGGTTGAAATGCTTGTCCTGCCTGTGATCGTCCAAAAGACTGTTTGATATGCTCGTCCAAAAAAGAATCAATATTAATATGTTCACCCAAACTGATGTGTCTGTATGTTTGTTCAGTCTACCCTCAACTTTCATGATCATATTTGGACATACTTATAAGTTGGTTTTTTTTCATTACAAATTGCACAATATTTTAACCGAACGCAAGTTGATATTATTTCAAAATATATGTCTAAGTAATAACATTTAATACACCAGTTTTGACTATTCGTTGGCTGTAAGATAAATATTGGTTCTTTTTCTTCTTTGCATGAGCTCCCTCCGGCGCATTGCATTTGCACCCATGAAGATAACAATTGCACGCACGTTCTTGTTATTTTTACGTATATATGTTTTTGCTACATTTGCGTATATGTTTTTGTTGTATTTGCGTTTAAATTTTTGTTATATTTGTGTATATGTTATTGTTATATTTGTGTATATGTTATTGTTATAGTTGCATATATGTTTTTGTTATATTTGCGTATATGTTTTGCTATATTTGCGTATATGTTTTGTTATATTTGCGTATATGTTTTTGTTATATTTGCGTATATGTTTTTGTTATATATGCGTTTATGTTTTTGTTATATATGCGTTTTTGTTATTGTTATTGTGGCTTATATGTTTTTGTTTTATTTGCGTATATGTTTTGCTACATTTGCGTATATGTTTTGCTATATTTGCGTATATGATTTTGTAATATTTGTGTATATGTTTTGTTATATTTGCGTATATGTTTTTGTTATTTTTGCGTATATGTTTTTGTTATACTTGTGTATATGTTTTTGAAATATTTGTGTATTAGTTTTTGCTATATTTATGTATGTTATTGTTATATTTGTGTACATGTTATTGTTATAGTTGCGTATATGTTTTTGTTATACATGTGTATATGTTTTGCTATATTTGTGTATATGTTTTTGCAATATTTGTGTATTAGTTTTTTGCTATATTTGTGTAATTATGTTATTGTTATATTTGTGTATATGTTATTGTTATAGTTGCGTATATGTTTTTATTATATTTGCGAATATGTTTTGCTATATTTGTGTATATCTTATTGTTATATTTGTGTATATGTTATTGTTATTGTATAATATATTATATGGTGTTTTTTCTTTATTTGCGTATATGTTTTTACTTTTTTTGCGTATATGTTTTTGTTATATTTGCGTATATGTTTTGTTATATTTGTGTATATCTTATTGTTATTGTATAATATATTATATGGTGTTTTTGCTATTTTTGCGTATATGTTTTTGCTATTTTTGCGTATATGTTTTTGTTATATTTGCGTTTATGTTTTGTTATATTTGTGTATATCTTATTGTTATTGTATAATATATTATATGGTGTTTTTGCTATTTTTGCGTATATGTTTTTGCTATTTTTGCGTATATGTTGTTGAATTTTCTATTTATATTGGTGCCATATTTGAAACAAATTGTATTTTCTTAACTGATACTTATGAAATGGTTGATTATTGTTGAGTTTAAAGTAGTTAAATCGCTTCTCTAGCGAGAATTAAAAATAAAAACAAAAACAAATCTAATACTATTTGGAATCGACAAATTAATTCACTTTATTTACTCTTAATGAATATATAACTTCTCTTTTCTGTAACTTTTTAAAATACATAGAAAAAGTAAAAAACCCGATGTAAAGTTGGCATAAAAGTTTGACCTTTATAAACTTATTTGCCTTTAATTCAAAAGTTCAAATTCAAAAAAGTAAACCTACATACCAAAACTTTAATTTTCTTTTAATACATTTGTTTCTCTTTTTATTTATCTTTCAAATTTAGATAATTATACAAATTATAATTTATAACATAAATTTTCTAAAAATGTGCAACAGGTTTTGATATAAATTTAATATTCAAAATCATAAAATATTTGACATTTTGACACTAAGCTTACACATGCAAATAATGATAATGATGTTTAACAGCATATGTTACGGACTGCCAGTGTCATGACCATTGAGTAAAGATTTAAATTTTTTATTGATTTGAATTAATTAAACAGCCAATAAATACTTTACAAAACTTTTATTCATATTGTTAGACACTCGTATCATGCTTGAGTAAACATTAAGGTTTTTGTTGACACAGGTAATAATGTAAATCAGCCGTGTTTGATGCATTTCTTTCCCACGCTCGTCTTACCTGAGATTACTACTCGGATTAATTTCAGAACTACTTTTACATCTGTTCGGTAAATTATAGTAATACTTAATATTAAACAATATAAATTGTTATAATTTTCATCAATAAAACCATATATGATTTTATCTTTCAGTTTATACAAATTTATTGCAATAATACTATTGACGAGGTTTTATTGTGTAGGAGAAAGTTGTATTGGACTTTTTCCCATGAGACGTGGAAGGCTACAACCGAATCACAACCAAAGATTTACATAAATACCAAAAGTCATTGACGAAAAACCTAAATTGAATTAGTGTCTTTGAAGGAAAGGAATACAATATACAACGATCCACACTTATTTTTACAGTATAATTTATTTGTCGGAAATTTAAATTTTAACAGAATGAAGGTAAGTTGAAAAAAATATTTTAAACTGATTGAAAGAAGGGTTTTTAAATTAATTAAAATATAGAACGAAGTAAAAGAAGAAATAAGACAACTTTATCAGAAAAGTTCCACCACTTGTTTTTCTATATAAAAAAAGGCTTTAACAGTTTCACCATTTATCATTACAAATGTAATATTTTTCTAATACAATATCTTAATATTTTTCCAGAACGTCAGACAGTTTACACCCAAAAAGCCATCTTCAACACAGCAAGTAGCCAAGAAGCACCTGAAACGTCACGTCAAACGTCTGAGAGATAGAGAGTATTCAAGGCTCCGTCAAATGGTGCCGTCAATTGCCGAAAAGGAAAAAGTTTCAAAGGTAAGGTTTTGGACGTTGTGCGGATAACTGAAAATTATCTTGATGATGTTACATCAGCTTTTCATCGCTTGTATTGTATTTTCGTGGATATTTCAAATTTTTGGCCTCGAGTATCACTAAAGAGACACTTAGTGTTTAATGCAGTAACATTTGTGCTGTTGATGTTAATAATTTCTTAAACAGCCTGGTCTTACAAAATGTCAGATTCAGTTAGAGTTGTTTCGTGTTACTTGGTCAAGCTTAAATTTTGATTTGAATTGCGGTTAAAAATCCGTTATTTGTTTATTGTACAACACAACATAAAAAAAGTAAAGAAACACACCTGAACTGTTATAAAAAGGCTTAACTTAACAGGTGTAGTGTAACTAGCATGACAAATTTGTTGACTAATTTGATGTTATCGTAACAGGTGATTTTAATTACATTTTTGACATATTAGAAAACAAGCTATGATTAACCTAATTATTTACATCTGTCGTTTTACAGGTAACTGTAATTGAAGAGGCTGTGAAGTACATTGACGAACTCCACCAGGCGTTGATGGAAAGGATGCAAAATAAAGGTAAATACATTTTTTATACAGTACGATGTTCTTTTAAGTTCAACGTCAAATATTTCAGACAAATTTCTAATTAAGTGTACATCTTATGGAATTGTCGGGAAGTAACTTCAGAAATATTTACATGGGACGATTTGTAATCCCTTGCATGCGAGCACTGGAAAACATACTGATCAACATTTTATAATTGAACCTGATTTCAAATCTGAATTAAAATTCAATTATTCACTGCTCAATTATTTTAAAATTTAACTTGTATTTTACAAAGACAATACATTTCTGCTTGAAATATTGCTAATAGAAAAACATTAAACTTCAAAAAGTATTTGACAGACATAATTGAGGTCATGACTATATAGATTTTTCTTTTGTTTTCAGGTTTTCCAAATTCAGAGGGCGTTCAAACTCAAAACATACAAGATTTTATCCACACGATGTTTCCCGCCAATTTTTTACGACGTGAACCAGCACCATCACCAGTTTTATATGAAAAACAGCAGAAAGTGCCATCCTTCCTATTACGACTTAACAAAGACAGAAAGCACTTATAGTTAATGGTATGCATCTTTTATTTTTCAAGTACGATTACAATACGGTATATGTGTGCTAAAATCGCAAATTGACTTTTCGGGGCTGTTTATAACTTGCTATGTAGTATGGGTTTTGATCATTATTGTTCAAGGTCGTACGGTGGCCTAAAGATTCCAACTATATTATTTGGTATCTGGTCGATAGTTGTCTCATTCGCAATCCTGCCACATATCCTTATTTCTATGGATAAGGCTACTTCAACTTATTTTAAAGAGAACCATGCATAGACTTTTTAACTGACGAAGCTCTTGGTAAATAGTTAATATCATTTATATTGTTTTAAACGATTAGCTGTCAGGCGGACAATCAAACCTGGCTTATCTATATGACAGACGGTAGATCATCGTATGCATACTTACTTAAATTTATTATGCATCTACTAAAAATGAAGCACAAAATATTTTTATGCGACACGTAACTTGTTTAAGATAATATATAGGGAACTTGTTCGTTACAATATATGCAAATATTTTGTTTTCTGTTTACAGGAAAACTATGAGATACAATGTGATACAAGCGTCGCTGTGATGAAGACAGGCAATGTGATATGGCTCCAATGAATGTTTAAAGTAATGCAGAAACCAAAAGATAAAAACAATTTCGATGAAAATAACAGGAACTTTGTCAGTATTTTCGGTAAGTTGAAATTAAATTGAGTTGAATTATAATTGAGAATGTATATTTTAACATGACTGAACAATGTAAGCGTTAAATTAAAATGCACATATTGATATAAACCATATGACATCAAGAAAATTCAGCCGAGGCCAAATTGTCCTCAAGCGAACCGAGATGGAAAACAGACGCTGTAAAAATACCCTTTGTCTAATTTATTAAAGTAACCTTGTCAAATATCCCGAATTTGTTTGCCCCTTTAAAAGGAAATGCTTTTTTCATTAGACGAGTTGTTATGTTGTCATAATCAAATTTATATTTATCATTTTATTTTCAGATGTTAATTTCAAAGATATGGAACTTTTCAAGTGAATGAACATTTGCCAGAGGAAATTATATTTTATTGGACATTATAAGTTTAAAACTTCATGGAATATATTCTAATGGATTGCATGACTTGAACAATCATTATCCTTAATGTGCATTTTCAAGGACCGTTACAGAGTTTTCCACACTTGGTTGGATCGAAAGACCACGTGACAAACATTACATTGGAGACTGAGATTTATGGTGAATTAATGTACTTTTGTGCCAAATTATTTACAAGAATTTTATTATATAAAGCATAAGAATTTATTTTGTTACATTGCATTTTTATGCTATCGAGATAGCGAAATTCAAAACTGCCCTTGGATTTGTCTTTCAACATGGCATGTCTTTTAGTAGTGCATATATATATAGGTATATTATTGGTCATTAATTATCTCTTTTTAGTCACTTTTTCTTGCATCGGTAAAGGTATTTGATGTATTGATTCAAGGCATAAACTCCGTACAGGCACTTTTCAAAACACAAAAAAAGAAACAATGAAAAAAACAGTGATATGCTATTGCTGCTCTTCATCTGTAAGTCCTACTGAGACAATCCGCATGAAGCAAACTTTCATTCCTCGATGATATTGCCGTATATTTACATTAAAATGACAACATAATTATATTAAGTAGCGTGTATGAAAATTGTGCCTTTATAGGTTTAATATGTTTTACGGGCGTTGGATGTTTCAAAATGAATTGGTGTACACACACGTGTTTATACCCAGAACTTCAGTGATTTTTCTTTCTTGAGTTGAATACATAATATTTTCTTGCTTGCTACTAAAATTGCTTAATCATTCTTTAGAACAAACTTATGGTTAACATATGTAGATTTTTACAATGTATGTTGTGAGTTAAGTATTAAAAAAACGGCTGTAAAAAATCGAGTTCCAAGTGGAGCAGGAACTACTTATAATTCCAGAGCACCTAGGTTCCAAAAAGGGGGTCATTTTGCTTTTGTCTAACTTGTCTGTGTTGTTCTTGCGTTATTTAATTTACAATGGTTGGGTCATTTCTATTAGTCATCTCTGTCTTTTCTATTATTCCATAAAAAAAACCTGGTCTTTCAGATTCCGTCATGTAAAGGTGGAAGGAATAATATCTTCCACAAATGTTCAAGTATACAACAGATTGAAGGAAGGTTAAATCAAAAGAAAAAAAACTTCACCGTTAAAACATATATTGCAAATAGTACACGTATGTTGAGGATGATTACGCAGCTGTATAATAAACCCTTGCACTATATATTTTTGAATGTTAACAAGGAGCAGATTCAGACGAAGGCGAACGCGGCGCCACCCCTAATATAAGAGGGGGAAATGTAATTTATAGGTAAAATCACGGTCATTTTTTTGTCAACGTATGATCATCTAACTCCTACTAGTCCTAGTTCTCCGGAGCGCCCCTAACATCAAATCCTGGATCCGCGCCTGTCCGGTTAAAGATATTGGCAGTACTAGTGTATTTAACTTGAGACTTTAAATTCTAGTTTCAATGATATATAGTTTTACAAATTTAAACAATCTAACCATTTACTTCCTCAAATATGATATTGATCACACAGGGAAACATACTGGGGAAATACGTCTTAAACAACAACGTTATCATCCGGGTCTTTCAAAGTATTTTGTTACCAAGCCTATTATAGTACAATTCTGGTTTTCGCCAAAGTAAAACAAAAGATGCATGTCGTCTCATTGACGAATGTCATTTCAGCTACCCATGCTTTTATTTCAATGATGAACACATTTGTTGAATAAAAACTGACTCTTTTAAACATCGACAACTTGAAAAGAATTCATTGATGCTAATTATTGATTGTTCTAATGACGACTAGAAGCAACAAACAAAAAATCAGCAAAGATGCAGCACAAGAAATGACGTCAAATCAATTCATTCCATTAACAATGACATTTCCAATGAACAAACTTTACATGCATGTATATTCTGACCAACACAACCTTAAACACGTGATTCCCCATAACCCATTAGGCAAAGAGTTTCATTAGTACAATTTTTTATGATTTTGAGCATATTGCAATTTTCCGAAATGCGGTTTTATTATACTCTGACAAGTTCTTGAAATAAATTAAGGAATTAAAATATTATTAAGCATTGCGTTAAACCGACCATTAGGTACGCTTGAGGCTGCTTTGATCCAAGCTTACAGTAGGTTATCCGGAGCAACTGTCATGCATATTACCATCTGTTCATTATCGTATGATTTAATCAATGCTGTAAATGACAGCAATTGCAGAGTTCATTTTGAAGTCTTAAGACTCGCAATTTTCTTCTTGAATTTACCATTCAGACTCTTTGAAAGCTTTGAAACTTTTATTTCGCCTGGTTTTCTATATGAACTATAACTATTGTAAATTATTAATTTTTATTGAGGAAAAACAAGAAACAATTAAAAAAACAGTGATATGCTATTGCTGCTCTTCATCTGTAAGTCCTAATGAGACAATCCGCATGAAGCAAACTTTCATTCCTCGATGATATCGCCGTATATTTACATAAAAATGACAACATAATTATATTAAGTAGCGTGCATGAAAATTATGCCTTTATAGGTTTAATGTTTTACGCGGGTTGGTTGTTTCTGACAGAATTGGACTTTGAGCCAGTATGGACATTTTAATATTTTCTTTTTTTTTTACAAAAGTAAGGAGATATGGGGTAATGGCAACAAGATCATTATTCACCAAAGACTGAATGAGAAATATATATAGACATAGCCCGAACGGCCATTAACAATGAGCAAAACTCGTACCGTATAGAAAACACTGCATGTGATATCAATATGTGAAAAATTATTCAAGTGTTTAAAATCTTAACGGCCTGATTTAAGCTTATAAAGTTAAACAAAAGTTAATATAACAGACGGCAACCAGAGGCAATAAATGGTATTCATCAGGAACTACTTAATATATATAAAATTTACTGATTTTCATAAACCATTATTATCAAGAAACATCAATATACAACTATGTAAATTATTATGATTTGTGAACAAATTAAAACAAACAGATCTAGAGACAGAGAATGAGCGATAGAAACAATACAAACAGAATAATACAAGTATGCAATACAGAGTCTCGCAGTTTTATTGCCTGTTTGCCAAAGGACCATACGCCTTATACTTATTTTTAGGTTGATGGGCAATGAAAATACATAATGTTTTGGTTGTAAATGATCATTGGCTAGTGAAATATTTGCCACTGAACATTAAGTAAGCAGTAGTCGAACTTATAAATACTGCATGTACAGATATCATTTTGAATGAAATATGTAGTTTGATATATGTTCATTATTATGGACAAAAGGGATACTGGGGATGTTGTTAAACATATCAATATAAGGAGATGTGGTATGCTTGCCAATAAGACCACTATCCATCATAGACCAAAGGATGTGGATATAAGCAACTATATATTGGTCTCCGTACGACCTACAACAGTGAGCAAAACCCATACCCTATAGTAAAGGCCTCGGAATGAGAAAATGTAAAACAATTCAAACGAGAAAACAAACGGCTGAATTATACTGAAACAATAAACGAAAAACTAATATGAGAGACCGCAACCGACGACATCGCGGAGTTATAAGCTGCTTACTTGGGACAGAAACATAAGTATAAAGAGGGGTTTAGATAACTACAAGTGGTCTGCACATTGCTGTTCTTCATAATGGCATCACTGGAAGGTTTTCAACGATGAAATCGTCACCACCGTATAATCATCCTTAAAATGTTTATATTTTTCTAGTAATTATGTATTGTCGTATCTTATTTCTTATTTTCAAGTATTAAAACAGAACTGGTAAAAGTTTAGAACCACAATAATATAGACAAATCTTTGAATAACAATCTGTCCAGGGATTTAGAGGGAAAGGGCACAACTGTCGGATACTTTTTATTGGAGATATCTGGTGTCCATACGGCGATATAAATTTGCAACAGCATGGACTCGATCATTGTGAGATATTCTTGTCTAAACCTGGTGACATATGCCATAACCTGAACAAAGGAAAACTTTCGAATTAGTGGTCGTCTGCTACTATTTTCTCGCATTGAATTTGGCGCGCTCCGGACATGTGATGTTCCATCTGCCGTCCATCAGGAGTAAATTAGCCGAATTGTCGTAAAATACAAATATAGAAAATACACCGGAATTTTATTATTTTTGTATTTTATGATTGACTGGTCATAACAGCAATATCTTAAAAATATGACTTTCTGCTTCATTTAATGTACTCCGATTTAATAGTCCTCGTCCATTTAACAAATGCACTTGATGGAACGGTGACCCGTGTTCAAAATTCACATTAAGAGTCATTTTCTTTTATTCTTTACAGCTAAATATGTTACCAAACTGTAATGACGAGGTTTCTTTACAATAAAGTTTACTAAATACGTTGACCATAAAAGCGATCTAATGGATGTTTTATGCCTCGGGTCAGCCCCAAGTCACGTGAAACATATTTGAATTCAAATTACAAACACTTGTTCATTTTTGAATCAACACGTCTTGGAAACACTAGAAGTGGTGTCAGCTTGTATCGCTGACATTTTAAGTGAATTTTAATCTTTTTTAAACAAAACTTTTCAGTTTTTCTATTTTATTTTCAAATAAAGAAGGTCTTAGACACTGTCCATCTGGTTTTCTTTTGCAAGAAAGCATATCGTTATGGTAAAGTGTTTAAGATTGATTATCGTTTGCTTACTGTTCACTAGCAAATATTTCATGCATATTCAGGACGAGAACACGTTTAGGTAGGTTCGGTGAGGTAGGTCGACCGGAACGGTGGGCTGGAATTTTGACTGCCACTGGAAACTGAGGGTAGTTGGGTGTCGCAGATATATGTCCTTGCAGCAGACAGCCTACATACCCTTATGAGAGTTTCTGCAAGGGTGCTTGAACATGCAGAGAGATCTACACACAAGGCGTTTGATTTAATGTACGTTCCGACGAACGTGGCTGCGTGTTTATACTTCCCACACAGCCAAACGAGCACCTCATCTTAGCAAGGGTTTTATTGCTAAACGGGAGAAGTCCAATGGGTTTTACTCATTGTTGAAGGCCTTTCGGTGACACATAATTACTTACGTCAACATCATTTGGATTCTGGTGGATAGTTGTCTCATTGACAATTATACCAAATCTCCATTTTTTTATCTGAAGGATGTTATTTTACAGATTTATTTTAGAATTCAGGGGTAAACACATAGTAATATCAAACATATTAGTTTTGTCATACTGT